ATCATAAAAAAAATCATTTCAGAAAAATCAGAGAACAATAGAAAAATCAAGAAAAAGCAGGGGAATTTGGTGAATTCTAGAAATTGTAGTGAAGTCCCCCCGACTTTACCTGCCTGTGGCTAGGTGCCGGAAGGTATCCCGAAGATGTCCCGCCGATCAACGAATCCACAACCACTTTCCCCTTCCTTCCACAGATGAGACGCTTACGCTGTTCCTCCACTCGCAAAACAACTCCCTGGAGCTGGCCAAGATGACGCTGGACCGGTCTTACAGCATCCGGACGGTTGCCCGCGAGCTCTTCACGGACCGGAATCCTTTGTCTCCCGAGATCCAAGACGCCCTGAAAGTCATGTAAGTGGGGAGGAGGCCATCGCCCCGCGGGCCTCGCTGGCACGTATCCAAGGATTCGGTTATGGAAAAACGGGAAGAGGGGGGGGGGTGAGGTAGGCCTAGGTGTGCTACGGGGTGACCGAGGGATCATCCAGAAAGTACGTCCCTCATTGGCCGTTACGAAGATGCGAAGTTGAGCCTGTGCAAGCTCTCAGAGCCCCCGATAGGTAGGCAGAATCTTGCCTGCAGTGCACGTGTGTACACAGCGCGGGGTCTACCCCGAGTCTCGTAGGCGCCCAGCTCCCGTAATATGCCAAATGAATCCTAGGAAAACGGACGTACTCTCTCAACGAATCCCAATCATCGGCGCCGTTCTCAGTAGGTAAAGGTAACTGTTAAAGGAGTACGGTCGGGTTTGCCTATCACTGTACCGCATGCAGTACAGGATACCTACAACTGACAACGGCGCCGATGGATCTTGTATTTAGCGACTTGAAGAAATATAGATTCTGCTACAGATTGCCTCCCTATCGGGCGCATCGGAAAAAATCCGCCATGGAGGGACAGCCTCTAACCACTGTAGAACGGTTTCGTGTGTCCTCTTCGCAGACGCTTCGCCCCGCTCCCCGGGCGCACACCAGAGGGCCTCCTGGCCTTCGTCGTCGGCTTCAAGGACCCCGACCCGAGCCACTTCTTGTTCGTCGAGGCCGTCAAGCTGAGCCTCATGGTGCTGGACCTGGTGCAGCTCAACGATGGCCCGGTGCCCGGCTACAGACTCGTCATGGACATGAGGGGCACGAACATCGCGCACGTCGGCAAGATCAACTTCGCCACGATGAAGCGCGGGCTTGACTACCAGCAGGTCAGAGTGCTTTCTCAAACGCTGATTGAGGTGTATTCGCGATCGAGCGCCTGCCACGCGCTGGAAAGGCAAACCCGCCAAGCAGATGCGTGTAGCCAGTGGTCCTGCTCTATTAGGGATCGTCCAGAAAGAACACCCGTCCGTCATTCGCCGTTACGAACCTGCCAAGTTCGGGCCTCCTCTGCAAGCTCTCATAGCGCCTGGTAGGTAGGCAACACGTTGCCTTCACTACATTCGTGTACTGCGGGATGGCCTATTCTGCGTCTCGCAGGCGCCGAGCTCCCGTAATTTACCGAATAAATTTTTGATGAAAACTGACGCAATTTATGGACGATCACTTATCAAGGGACGCTGGCTCGGGCGTGGGCGTCGAGCCGGGAGCAAGACTGAGTGTTGCCCAAAGTTCCCTCAATCACGTCCCGTCCCATCGCATCGCGCCTCCTTGGTTAACTTTTCTTTTGGTGCCGTCGGGTATGGTTTAGCTGTGGGTTCGATGCTCGGATCTTTGAGTCGACAATGCTTATTATTTGTCTACAGGAGGGCCTCCCAGTCCGGCTGAAGGGAGTTCACGTCATCAACGCCATCCCCCTAGTCCATCACATCCTCGCCATCATGAAGCCTGTCATGAAGCCCGAGACGAGGGAGATGGTAAGCACTGCCCCCTCGACACTGTGCGTGTCGTGCTCCCACGCTCGCAAAACTCTCTGATCATGTTTCCCCCCTTGTCTGCCACAGCTGCACGTCCACACCGAGGCGCAGGTCTCCAAATTCTACGAGTTCGTGCCCCAAGAAATGATGCCCAAAGATTACGGCGGGGAAGCCCCATCCTCCGATGAATTGCACGGTCAGTTTCAGAACTCGCAGAGCTCCAACTGCACACTCAAAATGGTGTGTTTGCTGAAACAGAAGTGGGCATTTGTAAATTTACCATAGCTGCTAACTTTCTTTTGCTGCTGCTATGGTAATGGCAAACATTTTTGCTGTTCCACCTAAATTTTTGCTAAATCTACAAAGACTCACTTCTGTTTCAGCAAACAGACCATTTTGCGTGGCATTTGTGGCACCACCTAGCCTAACGATACAGTGAATGAGAACCCGCCTCCTGTTGCAGATCTCGTCAAGCAAGGTATGGAAAAGCTGGTGTCGTGGTACTCGCAGGAGGAGCGCCTCCGCGTGGACGAATCCCGGAGGCCCGCGCGGTCTGTGCCCTACCAGGATGGTGACGCTTTCGGATGCAACGGCTCGTTCAAGAAGCTCAACTTGGACTGATACGTCCACGAAGCAACTCGCAGCTTTGAAACTTTGAGACGCCAAAGAGGCTTGTTCGTCGTGTAATTTTGTTAAAAACTACTATTACCTAATTTGTAAAATAAAAACAACTACCAAGATTAACGATAAATTATTACGTGTACACGGGTTGGCAACCCACTAGCACTGCTCGCACGCCTACCTGCCGTACAGTATAATTCAGGTGCCCCTCCACTACCCCTTCAACATGAAGGACTACCCCCGTCCCCCGCCCGAGGTGACGCGCGATAGAAAGACGGGAGGCAAAGCGAATGAGCCCCCTGCGGCGTCCCGGGCGGGCCACCATCTTCTCAAAGCTGCTTGGCGGGCTGGCCCACCCTACGCGTGGCAGGCGCCCTGTCACTGGCGTCGTCACAACTCGTGAATAGTAACGTTCATGCTGGTGGGGACACCTGGGGTGGCAAGATCTGCGCCTGTGCGCCGCGTGCGCTCACCCGATCCCCTCACAATACCAGATGAATGAATGTCCGTCAGCATGGTCAGGTTATCACGGAAGTATGCCCCACTAAGGATCCTGTAAAGAAGGTTCATATCGGCAACGCCCACATGTTGGAGTCCGTCGTTACCCCGCACACACAGGCACCCGCACCCTACCCCACCGCAAGGGGTAGCGACTCGAGACTCGGCGCAGGGAGTACGTTCGGTGCTTTTTGAAATTAAGTCATGACTCAGTTTCTAATCTGATGTTCAGTTCAGTTTAGACAAAAGATTTGGTCGCACGTAGGTTCAGAAAATGCTTCTCGTTCGATCTAGACCATTCTACGCGAATAACTGTTTTATTGTTTTTCAACAATGCTATCACGAAGCGAGGCAGCCGGTTGCCGGGTAATCTCGACGTCCCCCAATCTATTTTGGCAGAAGACCTTCAAAATTTAAAAGTGAAAATTTCTAAACCCATTAAACAAAAAAAAAAGTACAAAAATATGTTTAAAA